GGGTCCCAAATTCTTCCTGACAAAGGGGGCCCTGCTTCCTTCCCCTCATAATGACGTTGCTGAGCTGTCAAATGAATACAAGGCCTCAGTGTTCACCATTCCAGCCCATTTAGGACTGTTTACTAGACTAATCTGGAACAATAAACCCATCCGCACCCTCCTGGCGCCTGCCTCACTCCATTCTAGGCCCGTGTTTGAAGATGTGTTTAAATTCCGGGCCTACATTCAGCAGACGCCCCAGGCCAGCTCCTGGCCAACGAGCACTAGGGAGGGGGCCCCCCAGGATGTTCAGGGGCTCTTGGTGGCAGGGCCTTCGCACACAGACATCCAGGGGCAGCTAGGCAGCTCTAGCCTTCACCTGGTGTTTGTTATTCCATGTCAAAGCCTTATCATAAACATTATCCTAGAGTGGGCCACCGAGGCTACAGACAAGGAGGGTATGTTATTCTAAAGTGTCCGGGAGCAGAAGGCATCAAGGCCGAGGAGTCTGAGCAGTGCAGGCTTGGGGATTCAGGGTGAATGGGAGGGAGACAGCAGTCAGGGCTAGGCGCCTCCTAACCACCCTTTACTGTCATGGCCAGTTGGCAAGTCTGCCTCTAAAATGAGCTCCATGTGTATGGAAACCAAGCCCAGTTAATCCACCAATCCCAGATCCCTGCAGAGTATCAACAGAAGGTAAATGTTTGTCAAACAAAGGAACAAATGAGTGTAGCTTCTCTATGTCTATTAGAAGTACCAAGAAGGCTCATGACGGAGCACATTTTACTTTGAAGTTCTGGTTGTGGGACCTGTTCTGGAGCCAGAGAGACATGATTTCAAATTCTAGCTCTGTCCTTTACAAGCTGTGTGGTCTTCGACCTGTCCTTCCCCTCTGCTTCTTTGGTTTCCTATCTATAATAGGGGCACTATCCCTGCTGGCTGTCTCCCAGGAAAGGCAAGGGGAAGCTCTGGTGATGTTAAACCAAGGGGACACTTCCATGGCTGGACTGCCCACGTTCAAGTGCACATCCCACCCTCTTCTAGTTTTGTCACCTTCGATGAGTTAATGTCTCTTTGTTGTTTCTTTGTTTTTTAAAAATCTACTAAATGAAGCTAATATTGGCCCTACCTCAGAGTTTTGTAAAGATTAACTAAATTAGTATGAGTTTAAAGGGTTCCTGACACATAGTAAGTGCTCAGTAAACATAGTGATCCTAGGAACGACTCGGTGAGGACTATTTCCTAAATTGCAAAAGATGGGTACAAGGTGGCAGGTGTGGGGACAAAGGCCCATGGTTCAGGGCCAGCCTCCTTTTTTCTGAAGCCTTTCCTGAATATCTGCAGTTCAACAATGAACAGAAGCAGGTTTCCTGCCCCTGCCAAGCTCTTGGTCTAGACAGGCAGAGCTCAAGGAATTATCTGCAATGGACACTTCACTGGGATAAATGCCAAGACCAAGGGAAGCACCGGGGTCTGTGGGAAGCACCACACCCCAGCCAGGAGTACAGGGAGTCCCGGATGACAGGCTTGGGTTTCAGTCCCAGCCCACCACACTCTGTTGTACCACACTGGGGAGGTCTCTTCAATCATCTGGCCTCAGTTTTCTATCTGTAACAAGCTAATAATAAATACTCCCTGACCATTTATGACTATTTCACAAGGCTCCATAAAGAAAGTGGGCGTGACCACGTGTGTGGGATGAATGTGGACTATGCCAGGGGACAGCCGGAAATCCAGCCCCAGAGGTCCAGGGCCCTGCAACGCATCCTGGGCGGGGTGTCAGGAGACTTGGGTGTGAGCCTGCTCTACCCCCAGCTCACAGTGTGTCTTTGGATGAGCCCATTTGGGGCCCCTATCTCCTCTTCTCTTCTGTGTGTTGAGGGTACAACATGAGATCAGGGTTTTCAAACTGGACTCCAGGGTAGCCATGGTTTCCATGAAGAAGTTTTGGGAGTCCCTGCTATAGGGGACCTTAAACTAGCAGGACTTCAGGCTCCAGCCTGACTCCCTTATGTCAATAAGAAAAGTTTCCATTTTTATCTGTTCCACATTTTGAATTCCAAATAATTCCTCTGGAAAACAATAACAACAAAGAAAGTATTCCATGGCTAAAAAAGGTTTGAAAAACCACTGGACCTGATGACCTCCAGGGGACCTTCCAGCTCCAATCAAGGAAAGTTGAGGTCTAGCTATTTTCTTCCACGTGTCATTTAGCAAGCATTTCTCCAGCACTTTCTACGTGCCAGAATTGTTCTTAGCACCTTACAGACTGTCACGTGCTTAATTCACTAGAATACCTCCCAGCTCCATGAGGGCCGCTTGACTGAGGAAATGACTATGTGTGGCTAAGAAGGTCCAAGGGAACCATTTCTCCTCCAGGCGTGTCTTCTGGGTGCCTGGGCAGATGACCTCATCTCAGGCCAGGTGGTGCTTGGCCAGCCCTACTCTGAGAAGCACGGGGCAGGTGTGTGCTGTGGCAGGGTGTGGTCCCAGGAGGTCTGTGTGTCTCAGCCCCCAGAAGAGGGAAGCAGAGCGTTCCAGCTTGACACGGATGCTTTCATTCAAGGCATGTGCCATGTGGGAGGAAGTGCCTGTTGCCTTAGCAATGTCCTCAGCAACAGGTCCACTGCCTCCTGTGATCCATCCACAGCCACCATGCTGCCATCAACACCCTGCACCAGGTGGCTGCAGATTGGATTTCGGGGTAGTGGCCAGAGCCTGGAGAAGGTCCAGAGGTGGGGTGGTGGGATCTGACCTCATCTCCAGCCAGCTCATTAGGGGGAGCAGCCTGGGCTGCTGCATCCAAGCTCAGTCCGGCTCTCCTGACCGTGAGGAGCGAAAGTGGGAGATGGGTGGAGGTGATCTAACAAACACTGCTCGGCCCCCTTGCCCATGACAGTATTTTTGGCCAGATTTTGTGGCCCTATCGTGTGAGCTTTTCTGTTCATATTATGTATTCTGGAACCACGTAGCCAATGCCACTTGGTGGGAACTTCCGCTATGTGGTGGTGTGACTGCCCCAAATGCGGCAGAGTACCAAAATTCTAGAGGCTGGTCTGAGGGATTACCATGCAGCTTTGAACTACGAAGTGACCACACCAGGTGTCAAAGTGCTAAGGAAAGAATGGAGTAACGTGCTCTGTGCCGTCTTTACCAGGAGCCATGCTGATTATTGCAAATACAAAATCAGTAAAGGGCACTTCCTGCTTTCAAGAAGCTTGTAGCCAAGTGGGAGAGACAAGTAGCTAACAGCGGTTACAATCTAATGTTCGCACCACAGTGGAGGGAAACATGGAGGGAAGTGTCACCAGAGTTGTGCTGTGTGGTGACAGCGGTGAGCGTTTGCTCAGCCGTCTGGGCCTAGTTGCAACTGGGCTCTGCTGGACTTGTTTGCATGTCTGGAAGCTGGCTGGCTGGGGGCTGGACTGGGGCGGCCTTGGTGGCACAACTGATGCAATGTGTCTCTGCACATGACTCATCCCCTAGCAGGCTGGCCTGGGCTGCTCAGGGCAGTGGTGGAGGTACAGGAAGCACCAGCACATTTGAAATTCGAGCTTTTCAGGCCACAATGTGAAGTGGTTACTGACATCCCATTGGCTATAAAGCAAGTCTAGAATCAGAATGGGAGGGAGGTACCAAGTTCCTTGGCCAAGGACATGAATACAGGGAGACTCTGGGAGTCCCACAGAGGGGCCAGAGAAGTTCCGTGGAAGAGACATCCGTGCTGAGCCTGTGCAGCCAAGTCTGAATTTGCAAGTGGAGAATGGAGGTTGGGTGCACAGGGGATAACATGTACGAGGCACAGAGATTGCTGAGTAGCTGAGCATTTGGGGACATAAGGGCTAGGTAGGAAATGAGGTCATTTCCCACAGCAGGGTCTGGGTCACTGCCTCAAAGTCTCTCTTGAAGAGCTAGGCCTTTGTCCTGAGGACAGGAGGCACCCATGAAAGTTTTGAGCAAAAAAGGAGAGAAGGAGACCATCAGACTTATGCTTTTAAAAGATGACTGTGGCAGAAGAATATGGGATGGGAAGCCTGTAGGGAAGGAATGGGAGGGGCTAATGCCGTCGACCCCATGAGAGAGGCTTGGGCCTGCATTGGTGTGGATCAGAAGGCTGGGAGGCTGCCACCCAAGACAATGTGCAGTCAGAATAAGCAGGGCCTGAGGACTGCTGGGGCAGGTGGCCGGAGACCACCTCCTGACATTTTGCAAAGAAATTGTAACAACTTTTTCCCTCTACCTGTGCTAGATAACTCAGAAAATGTCAGGATCCTCCTTGTTGTTGGCCAAGGGGGTCTGGGATAGAGTCACTGTGTGAATTTGAACAAGTCCCTTCCCATCATGGGCCTCCATGTTTCTTCTAAAATGGGACACGTTAAATCCTCTCTCAGAGCCCTCGTACCTTGGGCAGGCCATGTTCCATTAGGCCCATGATCCTCAAACACCAGAAGCAATCGGGCTGTAGAGAAGTTCCCAAGGAACCAGTTAAAATACACATCCTGAGCCTTTGCCTAGAGTGAGGACAGCTTCTGGAGCAGGTAGCACCTGTGTTGGGCCTTGACATCTAAGCTTGTTTTGGTCATTTGTTTGTTTGCTTCGTCTGGGGGGTGTTCTTGATTACAGAATGACTCTGTGCTTATTGTAGACCTTTCCTAAACACAGAAAAAGAAAGTAGCCCAAAGGAAAACATACTCTGTCATTCCAAAACCCAGACACAACTAGGGTTCTCATTTTGTCACATCATTAGATGAGATGTTAATACTCAGCGCAGGCGTGGGGACCTGTGGGGGCAGAGGGCTGGAGATGAGAACAGGCTGCACGTGTTCACAGGCCAGTGAGTAAGGAGCTGGAAGCGTGGAAACACTCAGACTGCGCCAGCTGATGCCGGCCCCACACACCTTCTCTGTTTCAGAGCCTGTTGCCCCAAAGTCCAGAGGGAGGAACGCCAGTCCTGGAGGTGTTAGGGAGCTCAGCCAGGTCCCAGAGCACAGCCCTTATTTCTCTTTCTCTCCTCTGCCCAGGTGCTGTTTGCCCTGAACCAGACGCTACTGCAGCATGAGAGCGTGCGGGCTGGGAGCCTGCAGGCGCCCTACACCACGGAGGACCTCATCAAGCACTACAACTGCGGAGATCTCAACGCTGTCATCTTCAACCATGACACATCACAGGTGAGACTCTCCTCCTCCAGCTCAGACAGCCTCTGGGTCTCTAGTTCCCAAGGCCAGGTTCGCTTGGCACACAGTAGGCATTTAATAAGTGCCTCAGGCAACCTTTTCTCCAGGCATGGTAAGCAGGAGCTATTGGGATCCCCATTTTGCAGATGGGGGAACAGGCTCAGAGAGGGGAAGAGACTTGCCCAAGTCTTCACCACTCATTAGTCATTGGGTTATTAAATTATCAAGAGCCGTACTTGAACCTGATATGTGTAGACCCTAGAAGCTTAGCCTGGAAGAACAGGGAGTCGTCTGGGAGGCTCAGTTCAGCATCTGGAGAAATTAAAGCCCAGGGAAGGGAAAGCCCACAGAGCTGGGGCTGGAGTCTGGCCCAGGGCGTTCTGCCTTGATTCGAGGCCTAGGGGAAAACATGCCCGCAGGCTGGGCAGACAGTGGGTGGGATTCCAAGAAGCTGAACATGGTTCCACCAGGCCTTCCCATTGCCCTTGTGATAAACTCCAAGACACTTTGTCCAGCGTCCGAGGCCCTCTGTGTCCTGCTCTCTGCTGACCTTGTCAGAGCCCAGGTGCCCTACCGCACAGAGCTTGTCCTGCTGACCTGTGCCACAGGCAGCCTTCCCCAATGCAGTTCGCCCTTTCAGACCTCTCTGCCTGTGTTCAGCCCCTCCCTCCTGGTCGAACGTCACCTCCTCTGAGAAATCCTCCTCGACCCTCTGCAAGGAGTTAGGTATTCCCCCAGGCAACTCTAGGCCCCCCGCTGTGCTTTCTGTGTCCTGGTGGTTGAATCTTCATTCATTTGAGAAGCAGTTGAATTAGTCAGAACAGGCTACTTCCCTGCTCAGGACACTGCAGTGGCTCTGCATTCTTCTTAGGGGAAAAGCTAGAGTCTCCACAATGGCCTGTGTGGCCCCCTAGTCCTCCCCCCCAGCCCTATGTCCTCTTCCCTCCTTTCACACCCAGCGCTCCAGCTGCACGGGCCTCCCTGCTGCTCCATGGGCCCACCTGGCATGCTTCCCCTTGGCACTGGCTGTTCCCTTGGCCAGGAATACCCTCCCCCAGGTGTCACTATGGCTCAGCCCCACTCAGCCATAAAGACTTAATTCAAATAGCATCATCTCAGTGAGGCAGGCCCCAACTAGCCGACCGAGAACTGCTGCCTGAGCCTCATGCCCATGCTCTCATCCTCTTTCTTATACTCTGCTCTTCCTCTGTGGAATTTACCATTTTCCCATATACTTATATATCTGATTCACTAATTAGTGATTATTTATTGTGCGTTCTTCCCCACTCGAGCAGAAGCTTCCTGAGGGCAGCTTGGGTCTGTTTTATTCATCAATATATCCCAACTGGTTAAAGCGGCACTTGGCACAGAATAGGACAGGCTCCGTGTTGTGAAAAGGGATATGGGGAAGCCCAAGAGAGCTGCCCTGCTGGGGCTGTTAGGCTCAGAAGAGAGATGGGGAGACTTGACCAGCAACACCAAAATGTGATCCTTGCTATGAGGGAGAGTAGAGGATGAGTTGGAGCCTGTGGCAGGAGCAGGAATTCAGATAGGCTTGGGGGTAGCGGTGGGGGCTGGGTAAAGAAGGAAAGATTCCTGCAAGATAGGAGGTCAGAGAAGAACCTGCATGGGCCACAGAAAGGAGGAAGAAGAATGTTCCAGCAGAGGAAGCTGCATGTGAACAAGCTAGAGGTGAGAGAGAGCCGGAGGAGGGTGAGTTTGGGTTGGAGGCCCAGCCAGGCCCAGCCGTGTCCTTCTGTCCATGCGCCACCCCAGTGGACCAGAGCTTCCTGAGGGCAAGGTTGTGGTGCTCACCTTGGTCCTGGTGTCAGCACAGGGCCTGGCACAGAGCGGGCATCAGTGAGCGACTTGCGTGAACAAGTAAGGGACATGTGGTGCATGGTTCCATGTAGAGAGTGAAAGAGGAAGGATCCAGAGACATGGCCAGAGGCAGGAGGCTCCGGGCTCTGAAAGCTCTGACTCTCGGTGGTAGAGGAAGGAGGGAGGAGAGAAGAACTCAGACACCATGAGGTCCATTGGTGTTTCACTAGCCTTGTGCTTTGTGACAGAGCCCTGCCCTGTGTCATGTGTTCGGGAGAGGCTGTCAGTCCTGAGAAGACAGAGACTTGTGTTGCAGAGGGGACCTGGTCACCATTCAAGATGTGCTGGCTATGGTGTGGCTGGCCTAGGGGGCAGAGTGTACAGGACAGGGCCCTGCCAGGCATGGCTGACGCTACGCTGAGGGAGGGAGCACGGGGGTGACCTCAGGGGATGGCAAGCTCAGATTGTCTTTGAACTTGGGTCCAGAACCACTGATTTATCTCTGGTAGGTGAACTGCTTAAGTAAGATCAGTGTTGGAAAGTGCATAGCACAGTGCATGGCACAAAAGAAGTCTTAACTAAATGTCAGTTTTATACAACCCGCCCGGGGGCTGGAGCTGGCTTCACCACCTTTCCCTTGTGAGGGCTGAGGCTACAGTAAAGCATGGCTTTGCGTGGGGGCAGAGATGGAGATGACAAAGCAATGGGCCTCAGAACCATCAGAGAGCCGTGAAGGCAGCATTCTGCTCCCCTTCCCTTTGTCAAGGGCCCTCCCCCCTCTGCTTCCTGACCAAGAGTGTGCATTTGTGGACAGATGAATCTTCAGTCCTTCCTTAGGGACTAAAAAACATTTAACAAGGACAGGAACCAGAGCATTCAATGTTAAAGCTGCGCAGGAGTTGGGCTAGACACAGGGGTTCCTGGGCTGCCCAGTGGCCGGCTGACATTCTCTGCCTGTTTCATGCTGACAGGCCTTCGCTCTATGCCAAGGACGGGGCCTGGGTTTGGGCCCCGATGGAGATGGGAGCAAACTAATGGTCATTAGATTTGTCGGCAGCCTTAACTTTTCTGTGACCAGTTTAAGTGCAGGATGCAGGATAAGATTTTAAAGAAGACACATCAGGTCCCCAGGGCCCTAGAAGGGTGGGTCTGAGATGGGATGATGAGAAAACGGGCTGGGCAGGGCTGGAGTGAGGCCATGGGGTATGACATCAGTGCAGGCTCCCCTCACCCACAACCAGGACTGGTGCAGGTCTTCCTACGTCACTGACGCCAGTGGCCTCATCTCATCACTTTTCTTTGCCCCATTCACCCAATAGACTCCTTCTGAGAACTTCCACTGGTCCAAACCTATATCAAACTAGAGGGCCATGGAGCACCCTCAGACTGGATCTGCCACTCCATGGATGGAGAGTACACATGAGAACATTGTAGGATCTGTGCTTTGATAGGGTACTGAGGTATTGGGCAGCCAGGGGAGGCATGTAAAAGGGTGAACATGTGTCTTGATTTGTCCAGGACATTCCAGGTTCATGGTTAATGAAGGCTGCCCCAGGCCTGTTAATTATCCTGACTCTTAATTATATACAAGCTTTCACTCTCAGAAGTGTCTGAGTATGGACAATAAATGTATCACCTCCATATTACCAATTTCTAAGCTGAGTCTCAGAGAGGCCAAGTCACTTGCTAGTTATAGAGACCACTGAGCTGGGTAATAATGAGAGTCCAGCCCAAGTTGTTCCAGCTGTCCGACATCAGGACCCATATTCACATCACTGCAACTCTACTGCCTCTCAGCTCATTCATTCATCTGTTCATCCACTGACTGAACCAATATTTATTTGTTGGTACAACATCATCTCACATTCTTTCCCATGTTCAAGAAATGAAGGGAAGCCGGTGAGGGCCATGTTTCCAGAAATAACCCTTCTGAGTCCAAGCTTTCTGTGTTCCACCTCCACTCAGAAGCCTGCAGAGTTGCCTGTCTTATAACTGCATCAAATCTAAGTGTGGCCGGTGCTCTCAGGGCTACTGATCATCCCTTCCATGGTTGGGAAGAGAATAAGAACTCCATTTCTTCATTTACCCACTTGCCAAAAAGCCCTGGACACCAATTCTGTGCTGGCTCTATCAGGCACAGCATGGCTGCTGCCTACACCTATACAGGCTGGGCACTGCACAGATTTAGGAGACCCAGTCCTATCATTGTCCTGTTCAGCCTAGAACAACAAGTCAGTCCTTTCTAAAGAAGAAGCCCATCCCTTCTCACTCTGGAGAATGCACTGGTCCTTGGCCAGCAGATATCAGAGACAGATGTCCCAGCCTCCTCCAAATCCCTTGAGGGTCAGCCTCCTTTGACACCTTCTTTTCCCTCAGAAAGAGTGTTGACAACTCATCAGTGGCTCTAGAAGTCATGTGGCCCAGCCAGTCTTCTGGGGACTGAAACATGCAGGAAATTAGTCTCATCATGGCAGACTCTCCATCTAGCTCCTCCATCAGTCCGCTAGGCCTTGTGTCCTGTGCTTTATGCCTGCGCTGGTGAAGATGAAGAATTGGAAGAAGGGACACCAGGAGGAAAATATTCTATGAGCAAGATCTTGGAGGTTCGAACAACACTGACAGGTGTGGGGAAAGAGAAGCTATGGCCCATGGTTTCCTCTGAGACCACATGAACATTTTGCAGGACACCAGGACACACTACCCAGGTTGAAAAGACCATATGCTGGGAAAGGAAGAACACAGGAGGAGGCAATGTGGTGAGGAAGGACAGCACAACTTTATGTTTGAAGTTCCAGAAACCTTTATTGGACACCTGTTCTGTTTCATGCTTTGATAATGGCTGAGTCCCTGAACTCAAATTGCTCTCTGCCTAGTTCAAGAGCATGTCTGTGATGCTGACCCCAGGTCACCTGAGTGTGAGCAGTGGGAACTGGGAAATCTGCATAGTTCCAGGCCAGGTTGCTGAACAAACCTTCATTATGGGATGAAGGGATGGAGTTCCCTTCATCCCATAATGGAGTTGAAGTTCATAAGAAGGATGGAGAAGGAGTTTGGATTATGTCCTGGGAAATGGTGGAGCTGGGCATAGAGAGATAGTAGTGGCAGATGGTGGTCAACCATGGCATTGGGAAAACCCAAAATTAGGACCCCTCTTTTCATCTCTGTAGGGTAGAATGGGCTGAATGCAGGTCATGACAGCACCCATCATCTCATGTAACGCCTCCCAAATATTGTCAGCCCCATCTTACAAATGAGGAAACTGAGGCTCCGAAAAGTTAAGTAACTTGGTCAAAGTCACACAGTGTCAAAACAGGGCCCGAAGCCCAGGCCAGCCTGAGCCCAGACCCCATTGCCTTGCTCCTACACCAGGCAGCTCAGCTGGCTATCCACACCTGCTTGCTGAACAGAATTTCTTGTGTGTGCCAGTACGAGGCTGCTGATGTGAGAGCAGTGAAGCAACTGAGCTCTGTCCCACCTCCCAGGACCTCAGTGTCTGGAAGCTGAGGTTCAGCAAGGCAGAGACACAGGAGTGATAAACATGGGAATGTAGCAGTCTGGGGCTCTCTCCTGGCTCATCCTCTTTGCTAGCTCTGTGACTTTGCACATGTCTCTGGACATTTCTACTCTTGCTTTCTTCTTTTATAAGACTGGAATAAAAACAGTCACCTCAACAGGTTTTGAAATTGATTAAAAGCATATAGCCCACCATAGGGACATAAGAAAGGTAAGTTGCTTACCCCACCCTGGGCTGTGTGTGTTTATCCGAAGCCCACCTTGCTCCAGAAAGAACTGAAGGCAGCTCCTGTCTTACCTTTACAGCTGCCCAACTTTATCAACACCACCCTCCCGCCGCATGAGCAGGTGACAGCCCAGGAAATCGACAGCTACTTCCGCCAGGAGCTCATCTACAAGAGAAATGAGCGGATGGGGAAGAGGGTCATGGCACTTCTTCAGGAGAATGAAGACAAGATCTGCTTCTTTGCCTTCGGAGCAGGTTTGGACTGGAGTGGGGAAGGGATTATTTGCAGAATTCTTAAGGGCTGGGAGACTTACTAAACTCTTTCCTTACCTCTACTTCATAAAGGGAAAAGTTGAGGCCCAGATTGGGCAGGAAAAGCTACAAAATGCTCAGCAGAGCTGGGACCCAAAGTGGTTCTCCTGCTTCTAGTCAAGAGTACTTTCATAATAGTCTCCATGGTCAAAGGGATTGACCCTTGTTAAGGCCAGTGCAACTTCTGTGGCCCCTTCATGCCACTAGGAGGCCACATTAAGAGCCCAGAACTGAACCAGCTCCCACTACCGAGCCTGGCAGAGCCCGGGCCATGTGGCCCAGTGGGCAGAAGGCAGGCTCTGACATCCCGCAGTCCTGCCTCCACATCTCACCCCCAGCCTCACCTAGGCTGCATGACCTTGGCATAGTGCCTTCTCAAAGGCTCAAGTCCCTCTTCTATAAGTTATAGCGGTACCTATTTGATGAATTAAAAATATCTACCTTGGAGAAGGGTTGTACTTATTAGTGACAACATTCAAATAATCTGCCATGTAGTAAAAACTCACAATGGCAGCTACCATTATCATGATTATCATCATGACAATTAATACAAGTTTTATTATCCCATTTTGGACCATGAACTTGATACTTCTCCTGGGGGCTCTGGCCTCTTCATGAAAAGGGAAGTCTAGATGTCCAGGGGCCGGCCTTGCTCAGCATCTCTCCCTGCTCCTTCCTTCTCTCTCTCCTTCTTAGTCTCTAAAACTCTTCCTTTCTCTATGGCTGGCACTGCTAATGACAGTGATGTCCATGTTGGGACCAGGATATTGCATTTGCTTCCTTTATTAGTCAAGTTTTGCTCCAGAACTACAACAAACATATTTTTTTTTCTCATGTTACCTCAATTTGGGTTGACTGAATTTGCCTCCTGTTTTGTTAGAATGAAGCCCAGGCCTGCTGGGCACTCCAGCGCTGCCCTCTCACCCCTCCCTCCCCTCCCACCCCTCCTATTTCTGGACCATTAGACACACACACACACACACACACACACACACACACACACACATGCACGTGCGCATGCACACACATGGTTTGCCCTGGTTAGGCTGAGTTAGATCAAGTCAAGCAGTCGGTCTAACTTGGAAGGGTCTTGATTGTGTTATGGGATGTATCTACTGTTTGAGGTCTGCCTTCCAGCTCCCTGCCATTCAACTCCATATACTTCAAGGGCAAGAATCAAAGTTCATCTGTCTGTGCCTGTCTTCCCTCCTCTACAGCCCTCAGCACAGGACAGACACGGGGGATGACTTCAGAGACACAGGACCTCTGGGGTATCTTCTTCAAGGCCACATCTGAAGCCAGACAGGAAGAGCTCTGGGCTCATGGTACAGCTGTGCCTCAGCCTGTCCTGCCCTATGGCAAGTCTCTTCCCCTTCCACAGCCTCTGTTTGCTCATCTGAACAGAAGGAGCCAGAACTCACTTGGGCCATCTATGATTTCAAGAGCTATTCAAGCAGTTTTTAGAGAGGGAAGGGATTCCTGTAGTGGAGACTGGAGAAGCCAGCAGGAGTGGGATCTTGACTAACCACAAAAAGAGGGCAAGGCTACTCTCCAACTGCAGGACACCTGCTAGGGACCTGGCATGAGTCAGGACAGCTTTGGGAACTCTGCAGGGAAGTAAGTGCTCCCCATCACACCCTGTCACATCATATAGCTGCCTCCTTCAACCTGTCCCTCATGGACATCTGGACAGGGTATCCTGCTGGGGAATGGTCCCCAGCTGACCACAAGAGGAGAGCCACTGTGAACTTAACCAGCCCCCAGCCTCCTCTCTGGCCAAGAAGAGCCCTAGTGAACTTGACCATTAAAGGAGGCCAGTAAATGATCCTGCATTTCTCATGCCCCACTTGAGTGGCAGGGCCTTTCTGTCCCACCAGCCCCATGGCCCAGAGTCTTCCCAGGGTCTGAGTGTAGCTATTACCACTTCTTTCCTGTGGGCAAGGAAACAAGAGAGCCTAGAGATTAAAATTCAGTGGGCAGTCCTGGACCCTAACCTCTTTTCCTGAAATCTGAGTTCATGTGTGGGAACACAAATGTCCACTCAGGCACCAGGCCAGCATACAGGCATCATGTCCAACTCTAGTTTCTTCCCCATCTTTGAAATTCAACTGGTCCTGGGTGGGTCCTGTTGACAGACTACTAAGAACGCTTTCACCTGTCTACTCTGTCTACCTTCACTGCCATAGTCCCAGCCCAAGCCTCCATCAGCTCCAGCATCCTCATCTTCTCTCCATCTCTGCACTGATCCCTACATCGTAGCTTGTGCATGGTACTGAGTCTGTCTCCCACCTCACCATCAGCTCTGGGAGGGCAGGTACCACTTAATCATCCCTGTGTTTTTTCAGTGCTAGGGATTTCCAGTGCTGATGGCAGACTGGCCCTTCCTCTGTTCTGCTCCCCAGAGAGTTCAGGGCAAAGGGTCAGAGCTTTGGAGTCAGGATGCCTGGGTACATAGTGTGGCTCTACTACTGTCAGCTCAGTGAGCCTGGGAAAGCCATCTCACTTCCAAGAGCCTCGGCCACTCCCTGTAAAATAGGAATAATATACCACCTCAATGGGTTGTGCTAGAGACACTCATTTCAGATCATATGGTTAAAACTCTCCACCAGGGTGGAGGGTTCCTTATAATTAAACCCCTACTATGTGCCAGCCACAGGTCCAGCCTCTTGGATTGCATTGCCTTTGATCTTCAGAGTAACATTATGAGATGGGTTTTATTATACACATTTTCCCAATGAAAACCAAGGCCCCAAGAGGGTGAATGGCTTCCATGAGGCCAAACAGGCAGATGTTTGAATCCTGGCCTCTTGGGTACGGGTCCTGGCCATTTCTCCTGTACATGGGGCCCTTGTTTTATACGTCCAGAAGTGCTGATGATTATGTGGGGAAGTTGTCTTTTTAACTGGTGCATCTCATAAAAGAATATTCTCAGGTCTGTGAGGTGTCTGCCGCGAAGTGCTATTTGGCCTCTCTGGAGGCCAGCAAAAGAACCTCCTCAGCAGGTTCAGGGACAGTGGAGGTGCAGACGTGTGTGAAAGCTCAGCTCTGCGCAGGCCTGGGTGACATCTGGCAGCCTAGATGGAAGCCCCGCTTCTCTGGGAGGTAGCTGTGGCCATTGTTCAAACCAATGTTCTGGAAAGAACCAAGCCACTGCCACGGAGGAGTGAGCCAGCCCAGGGGGAGGGGCAATCTGATTCCCGGCTACCAGGATCATGCAGATGGACAAGCTGACCCTGAAGAGCCCCTAAAGATCTTATGTGGGTTTTTGGATTTCCTCTCGCCTACAAAGAACTGAGAAAAATAAGTACAAGTTGGGGACTATTTTATTAGCTAATTTTATGTGATTTGCTTGCTTATCTTTTAGTCTGAAATAACCTTTTTTCTACTGTGTTTGAAGTTAAATATCCTTTTTTAAAACATAATGGTGATATAAAACAAATGGGGCTTTTAAAGCCCTTACTTGGCACAATAAAAAGTTAGTAACTGTATTATTCCACCCACCTTTTCTAAAGATAGGAGAAAATTGAGAATGCTTAACACATGATGGAAAGACTAGAATAGAGGGATGGTGATACAGGAGAAAGAGTGGAAGAAAATTACTAGCCCAGGGTTTTGAGAAGGGAGGAAATGGTGTGATCAGAGCTCAGGTAGAGGATTTGGCCTTGGATAGAGGAAGGCACCTTCTTACCTGTAATCAAAGGGAAGGAGGGAGGAGGCCAGTAGGCTGGTAATTTCATGGTGGGAAGGTAAAAGAGTTTTCTTCTAATAAGAGCTCCACTCTATTAAGTAAAATATGAAATCATCTACAGAGAAAGAGGAGGAAGAGGGGAGGTTTCTTGGTTTGAAGAAAACATTTGACATAAATTCAAGAGAGATTGGCCACAAGAACTGACATGGACAGGAAGTTAAATATAGTTCACATCATGGGCCAACTGTGATTGATTGATAGTGGCTGCCTGGAATGGGATGGTGTAAAAGGTGATAATATTGCATCAGAGCTCAGCAGAGAAGAGGTCCTGATTGATTAGTGACGTCTGCTCTGGATTAGGGTTAGGGCACATGCCTGCCATATGCATGCTCTGTCTGCTGGGAACACAGAAAATGCTGCCTGGCAGTGAGGGTCCAGGAACCTGCAGTAATCCCAAGACACAGGTTATAAGATTTCCTACAGCAACCCGAGCAGCTTGGATATAAATGTGGATGCTGTCCTCTAGGCCTTTTCCTGATTTTTATCCTAGTATCCTCTGATCAGTGAGCCTACCACCATATATGAACTAGTCCAGGGCAGGCAAAACCTCCTCAGAATTCCCAACATCTAGTAATGTTCTATAAGGACATCCTGGGCCAAATCACCCCAAAGCAATTTCATTCCATTCAGTCACATGGACTCTCTTAACCCCAGGGCTCGAGGGGGCCTCAGTCCCAGGCATTAGGAGGAAATGACGATTTTGTCCCTAGCTCCGAGGAACGGGGGCTTTCGGGATGTATTTACTTGTTTGACCCCCCTGTAGCCCGGAGTAGAATGAGTAATGTAGGAACTGGCAAAGCTAGATTGGAGACATAGCCAGAGGGGAGGCCTCTAGGGCCCATTCATTTCAAACTCTGGGAGCCAGAGGTTACCACGGTTATCACGCATTCCATAAGCCTCACATGCTCTAATCTGAAAATAATCCTAACTTCTGACATTGCAAAGGCCGTTGACCCTAATATCCTATTGTTTTAGGACTGTGTCTAAAACATCTATCATCATAGCATCTAACATTCTAGCATAGTTTGCTTCAACCCTTCTTGGATTTCTTGGGAAGAGTGTGGAGCTAAGAGCCTTCTAGCACCTGGAACTTCTTCCATGTAGAGCTACTGCCACCTGCCCCCACAAGAAGAAGAGGTCCAGACAGAGAGAGTATTTGAAGGGCTAGAAGGCAGTCTGTGTGAGCACAAGAGAC